CATATATAACTGTCCATCCTTGCTGTCTTTGGTGCTCTTTCCCTCTCCAAATATTTGTTGACTGATGCCCCTGAGGCTAAACAGAGGCTTTAAGTCAAGCTTTGCGTATTCAGCTGCTACTTCCTTTGTAAACTGGCAACCACCCCAGTGTTTGAGTTTAATTTTGGCTTTTTTGCAGGGACAGAGGGACAGTTGCAAAGAGCGGACAAGACTGGGCCACTGAGAAACACAGCTGAGTCTACAGGTCATTCTCGAGCAGGGTGCTGTAGTGCCACCTTGAAAATGCAGGTTATTCTTGGTAGAATCCCAAGATGGTAGGCTGGAGTGGGCTGATGTGCCGTTTTTAAACGTTCCTTTGAGAGAAAGAGAGAGAAGCAAAGTATAGACAAAAAAATAAAAGCCACTGCAAGTAGCAGGCTTGCACCTCAGGGTAGATGTACTGTTCTGCTAGTTTTCTACTTGTACAGTGGTGCCCCGCAAGACGAATGCCTCGCAAAACGAAAAACTCGCTAGACGAAAGGGTTTTTCGGTTTTTGCGTTGCTTCGCTAGACGAATTTCCCTATGGGCTTGCTTCGCAAGACGAAAACGTCTTGCGAGTTTGTTCGCTTTTTTCTTAAAGCCGCTTGAAGAGGCGCAGTTGCGATGGACCGTGCTTCGCAAGACGAAAAACATCGCAAGACGAAAAGACTCGCGGAACGAATTAATTTCGTCTTGCGAGGCACCACTGTAGAAAGTTTATTTGGTTTTGGGGGGGAAATCCAAAGAAGATTTTAAAAATGCAATATGCCATCTGAGAAGTCCTACTGTATTCAATGGCGCTTATTCCCAGGTAACTGGGTACAGACTGTGCAGCCTTATGCTGCATTCCCAAGTATTTTTTACTCAGAACTAAGTCCCATTTAGTTCCCTCAGATTTCCTCTCTGGTATGTTCCTGATGAGGTTGTAATTGGCTCAGGGTGACTGATGTAAATGTGTATATGACGTTGATGTGTGCAGCAAGATCAAGCGCAGAAGCTCCCTGATGTGGAATAAAAAGGTAAAGGACCACTGACAGTTAAGTCCAGTCACAAACAAGTCTACGGTCGCAGCGCTCATCGCGCTTTACTGGCTGAGGGAGCCAATATTTGTCTGCAGACAGTTTTCCCGGGTCATGTGGCAAGCAAGACTAAGCCGCTTCTGGCGAAACCAGAGCAGCGCACGGAAATGCCGTTTACCTTCCCGCCAGATTGGTACCTATTTATCTACTTGCACTTGATGTGCTTTCGAACTGCTAGGTTGGCAGGAGCTGGGACCGAGCAACGGGAGCTCACCCCGTCGCGGGGATTCAAACCACTGACCTTCCGATCAGCAAGTCCAAGGCTCAATGGTTTACACCACAGTGCCACCCACATCCCAATGTGGAATAGGATGTCTCTATTTACATCTGAAAAATCTTGGAGGGTGTGAGGTTGTTTTGCCCCTGTCTGCCACTCATAGCACCTGAAGTCCTAAAATATCTGGAGGACCCTCCATCCCTGAAATTAAGCATTAACCAGCACCTTCCCACCCCCATAACTATTAGCCTAGCCAAAGAAGAGTCACCCAACAGCCACAGAAGTATCTTAGCTTGCATGAAGCCCCCAAAAGTCCCTAGTGGAACTCATCCAAGATCATGGATGTCCAATGATGTCCCATGCTCCATGAACATTGTTTCCCGCTTTTCCTCCATTACGTCACTGATTGTATTATATAACTGGGTAACAAGCTACCACAGGCTCGTTGAGCATAACGTGTCCCATCCCACAAATTAAGCAGCAATGCCTCTGATTCACGCTGAACAAAGGTGAGCTAACGCCAGGTGTACAGTTATTCCTCTTTTGTCCGAGGGTGACTGTGATCTTCTAAACATTCTTTTATCTACAGCAGAGGTTCCCCAGGGTTCTGTTAGAGGAGGTACTTACAAATTGTGCCTTTAACAGCAGTTCTGAAATGGGAATTGGACATGATTTTTAAATATTTGGGGTGTGTAATGGTTGTGGGTTACCTATCCTTAATGGAACCCACTTTTCTGCACCACTGAGACTGCAATCCTAAACATACCACCCTGAACAGACATGACTCCCCTTCCTTGCCCACCGCATAATCCTGGGAACTGTAGTTTGTTAAGGGCGCTGAGAGTTCTTAGGAGATAACTGTTTCCCTAATAGAGCTATAATTCTCAGAGTTCCCTGAGCATAGGGATTGACTCCACTCCAGAAATTGTAGCAGATGGAGGCTTAATAAGGAATAAGTCGAGACACTATGCCTCTAAATACGAAATGCTGAGAATCACAAGAGTGTTCAGCTCAGGTCCTGCTTTTAAACTTCCTATAAGCATGGAAGTGAGAGCTGGACCATAAAGAAGGCTGATCGCCAAAGAATTGATGCTTTTGAATTATGGTGCTGGAGGAGACTCTTGAGAGTCCCATGGACTGCAAGAAGATCAAACCTATCCATTCTGAAAGAAATCAGCCCTGAGTGCTCACTGGAAGGACAGATCCTGAAGCTGAGGCTCCAATACTTTGGCCACCTCATGAGAAGAGAAGACTCCCTGGAAAAGACCCTGATGTTGGGAAAGATGGAGGGCACAAGGAGAAGGGGACGACAGAGGACGAGTTGGTTGGATAGTGTTCTCAAAGCTACCAGCATGAGTTTGACCAAACTGCAGGAGGCAGTGGAAGACAGAAGTGCCTGGCATGCTCTGGTCCATGGGGTCACGAAGAGCTGGACATGACTAAACAACTAAACAACAAGAACAAGCATCTGGCTGGCCATTATGAAAGCAAGAGGCTGGACTAGAATGGATCTTTGCCCTGATCCAGACCCTCCAAGTGTCCCTATTTTTCAAGGACAGTTCCAGATTTACAGAAACCGTCCCGGTTTTTAAATTGATCCAGGAATGTCTCACCTTTCCTTAGGATGTCTCTATTTTCATCAAAGAAATGTTGGAGGGTATGGAGTTATCTGACCCCCAAGCCATCGGAAGGCAGGGACGTTTCTTAATGTTTACTGTTTTTATATATGTTGGAAGCTGCCCAGAGTGGCAGGGGCAACCCAATAGTAAAATTATTTATTTGTTTAATTTAATTTAATTTAATTATTATTATTATTATTAATTTTATTATTATTATTATTATTATTATTTAAAGGTAAAGGGACCCCTGACCATTAGGTCCAGTCGTGGCCGACTCTGGGGTTGCGGCGCTCATCTCGCTTTACTAGCCGAGGGAGCCGGCGTACAGGTCATGTGGCCAGCATGACTAAGCCGCTTCTGGCGAACCAGAGCAGCGCACGGAAACGCCGTTTACCTTCCCGCCGGAGTGGTACCTATTTATCTACTTGCACTCTGATGTGCTTTCAAACTGCTAGGTTGGCAGGAGCAGGGACCGAGCAACGGGAGCTCGCCCCGTCACAGGGATTTGAACCGCCGACCTTCCGATCGGCAAGTCCTAGACTCTGTGGTTTAACTCACAGCGCCACCTGCATCCCTTCTATTATTATTATTTAGGACCTCCCTATTTTCCTCAAAGAAATGTTGGAAGGTGTGCTGAACCATCACTGCTCGTCCTGGTGTTTTTATGGTCAACAATTGTTTTTTATTAGTAGTAGTGGTATTAAGAAATAATGGTCAACCATTGTTAGTTGGGTCCAAGCTAAGTTGCAGCACAATCCTTTTATTGTCTACTTAGAAGCAAGTCCCACTGATTTCCGTGAGTCTTACTCCCAGGTAAGTCTGCATAGGATTGCAGTGTTAGTCACACTTGAAATAGATGGCCCATAAGCTAATAATGATTAACTTTTCACATTCATTTCAGTGGGAGTTAAGTGCAACTAATTGAGGCTGGATGCCTTGCTCACAGGTTCTCTTAGCAGCTGAATGCTAATTGCCTGATAATGAACTAGCAGTTCTTCTGTGGCACATACTTGGGGAATTACTGTTGTGGCTAGAGGGCCCAAAGAGGGCCTGGGAGGCGAGTTCAAATCCCCACTCAGTCAGAAATCTCACCGGGTAACCTGGGGCCAGTCACTGTCTTTCAGCAGTACCTACAACACAGTTGTGAGGATGAAATGGGGAGGAGAAAAATCTGGATAGGCAAAAAGGTGGGATCTAAATGTAGGAGGAAGAAGAGGAGTTGTTGTCTGCCTGTACAGTCCTGACCTGCCACTCTATTAAACGATGCCAAGGGTGATTGTGGGTTGTTTGCACACGCACGCACACACTGTAATTTTGTATTGATTTGTGTACTGTGTCCAACATTAGTCACGCTCCTGGTAGGTCCATTGAAATTTATGCACATGACTAAGTTAGCTCCATTAATTTCAATGGATATACTCTAAGAACTTAAGATACAATACCCTGTTACGTCCTGTCCTGTGACCAGAAGTGAGTTTGTAGTTATTCTGGATAGTTTATTCACATACACACAAACAAAAAAATACAAAACACAATGTAAAATTCCTACACACACACACACATTTTCTGTATTCTTCCTCGTTAACTGCTTGGATAAGTTTTATTTGATTAATATATAACTTTGTATATTATTAGTAGTATTAATAATATTGTTCTGTATAGTATACAGTGGTACCTCGGGTTAAGTACTTAATTCGTTCCGGAGGTCCATTCTTAACCTGAAACTGTTCTTAACCTGAGGTACTACTTTAGCTAATGGGGCCTCCCGCTGCCGCCGCGCCACCGGAGCACAATTTCTGTTCCCATCCTGAAGCAAAGTTCTTAACCCAAGGTGATATTTCTGGGTTAGCAGAGTCTGTAACCTGAAGCTTATGTAACCCGAGGTACCACTGTATATACAAAGAATACATAAAATTATAGATGTTTGGAGAGATAGATATGAACTCATAGAATCATAGAGCTGGAAGGGACTGTGAGGGTCAGCTAGTCCAACTCCCTGCAATGAAGGAATCTTTTGCCCAACATGGGGCTTGAACCCACAAACCTGAGATTAAGAGTCTCACAACACACACACACACACACACACACACACACACACACACATTTTGTATCATTTTTGTATTCTTTGCTCTATATGTGTTTGCTGTATATGTGTGTGTGTGCGTATGCTTATATATATATATATATATATATATATATATATATAGCAGTATATAAATTAGGATATTCAAATTAATGACGATATACAAATATCTATACTTCTCAGTCAATCGAAGCAGGGATCAACACAGAATGCACAAACTGATACAGAATTCAACATACAGTGGTACCTCAGGTTAAGTACTTAATTCGTTCTGGAGGTCCGTTCTTAACCTTAAACTGTTCTTAACCTGAAGCACCACTTTAGCTAATGGGGCCTCCCACTGCGCCGCGCCGCCACTGCGTGATTTCTGTTCTCATCCTGAAGCAAAGTTCTTAACTCGAGGTACTATTTCTGGGTTAGCGGAGTCTGTAACCTGAAGCGTCTGTAACCTGAAACATCTGTAACCCTGTATATGTACAGTAAGCACTATCCGAAACATTTAAAAAACTCAAAACATACTTAGTCACTGGGTGGTACATTATAGTGATTGTAGTGATGATCATAACCCTTCGGGTTGAAGGGAGGAATACAAAGAGTGGCATTCAATGTTAGCCCTACTCAGGAGTAGTTCCATTAAAAACAACAGCCCATTAATGTCACTCAGCAGCTTCATTCTGAGTAAAACACAGTTGACCAGGACTGTCGTAGTTAATGAATAAGCAATCTCTAAATTTGGTTGGGCATCCATAAATGTATCCTAATCACTAGCTTAGGGACAATTCTTCTCGTTGTAATTCTTTTCACAGTCAAGAGGAGGAAACATTTGGTGACCTATTACACACCTGTCCTCCGCTGTAAAGGAAAAATAAATAAATAGCCCCATCGCAAATCAGTGAGAGATGATCTCTTCCGCCTCTGTCCAAACAGTTCTAGCAAAGTCCTCTCTGAGGCACAAACAGCTGGAAGTTACACAATGTAGACACAATGGGCTAGAGCATTCAGATCCCCCAGGTGACTGTGGCTTTTTTTCTTTTTCTTTTTTTTTATGGCTATGTAAATCATACTGTCAAAAACCAGAAGAGGCAGGGAGAACCCTCAGAGGCTCCTGAAACTTCCCATTTTTTTATTGCCTGCCTGGAACTGCTGCAAAGGGAGGTGTCTGGGGGTGGGGGGTGGGGTAAGCATCTAGCAATCCTATATATATACCTTGGGTTACAGACGCTTCAGGTTGGGTTTTTTTGGGTTGCGGACTGCCAAAACCCAGAAGTACTGAAATGGGTTACTTCCGGATTTCGGCGGTCGCACATGCACAGAAGCGCTAAATCGCGCTTTGCGCATGTGCAGAAGCGTCAAATCTCAACCCACGCATGCACAGATGCGCCACTGCGGGTTGCGAACGCTGCGGGTTGTGAACGTGCGTCCCGCACGGATCACGTTCGCGACCCGAGCGTCCACTTTATTATTAGACGTCCCTATTTTCATTGGAGAAATGTTGGAGGTTATCCTATACATAGGCAGTGGGGGGGTATTCATTTTAGTGGCTCTGTGCTTGTTAATAAAAGTCAGTGTCCGCAAGATCACATCTATAGCCCATCTAATGCAGCAACCTTCCCCCCCCATCCCAAATCCCACATATGTAGCCATCTAGATGACTCTGGGAAACACACCATTTTGTTAATTTTTTATTAAGTTCTTCCTCAAGGTGGCGTGTACATGGTTCTCCGCTCCCGGTTTTATCCCCACAAGAACCCGGCGAGGTAGGTTTGAAGGAGAGGTGGCGGCTGGGCCCAAGGTCACCTAGTGAGCTTTGTGGCTGAGTGGAGATTCGAATGCCGGCCTCCCAGGTCATAGTCCGACACTCTTAACCATTACACCAGACTGGGTGGGAGGCATGCATACAACAGTTCCCTCCTGATACTGGTTTTCCTGTACTGGTGTATACTCCCCACACCTGAATCTTTCATCATTCAGCTTCATTGGATACCCCCAGGTGTCTTGTGAAAGGGGGAAGATGAACCTCTTTTCCAATTCTCCACTCCACACCATGCATGCTTTTTCAGGAATATTCCTTATTTGCCTCAAATAAGGACCGACTCTGGGCTTGCAGCACTCATCTCGCTTTATTGGCCGAGGGAGCCGGCGTACAGCTTCCGGGTCATGTGGCCAGCATGACTAAGCCGCTTCTGGCGAACCAGAGCAGCGCACGGAAACGCCATTTACCTTCCCGCTGGAGCAGTACCTATTTATCTACTTGCACTTTGATGTGCTTTCGAACTGCTAGGTTGGCAGGAGCAGGGACCGAGCAACGGGCGCTCACCCCGTTGCAGGGATTCGAACCACCGACCTTCTGATCAGCAAGTCCTAGGCTCTGTGGTTTAACCCACAGCGCCACCCGCGTCCCATATATATATACACAAATCATTTCCAAAAATCATATAACATACTTTCTTATCTTATACAATGTTTTGGACTTCCATCAACCGAATCGGAAGATTTTTCAACTTTATCACTTAATCTACATTTCTTAATTTCTGTATTACTTTTAATTGTCCTTAACTAATACCGGTAACTCTCTTCATAATCTTCTCTGCAATATTTCGCATAATCCTCCTTACAAAATTTATTACAGTCCTACTAGCGTAATCTGTTGATTACAATTGCTTTTCAAATAGTTCGAATATTTACTCCAGTCCTCTGAGAATCTCTGGTCCCGCATCTTCCTGTCATCTTATCTAATTCTGCATAGTCCATTAATTTCGTCTGCCATTCTTCTTTCACCAGTAGTTCATCTTGTTTCCATTTCTGTGCCAATAATATTCTTGCTGCCGTTGTTGCATATAAAAACAATTTACTATCCTGTCTGTTAATATCCTCCCCTACAATGCCAATGCTTTTGGTTTTTTTAATAAATGTATATTTCAACATCTTTTTCATCTCATTATATATCATTTCCCAGAAGCTTTTCACTTTCTTACATTCCCCCCACATGTGATAAAAAGATCCTTCTTTTTCTTTACATTTCCAGCATTTATTACTTATTTTATACATTTTAGCTAATTTCACTGGAGTAATATACCATCTATACATCATTTTCATCACATTTTCTTTCAAAGCATTCCATGCTGTAAATTTTAATCCTTCCTTCCACAGTTTTCCCCAATCTTTTAACTGTATATTATACCCAAAGTCCTTGGCCCAATGTATCATAACCGCATAATTTTTATTTTCAATCCCTTTTCCTAACAACCCCCAAAATGGAACCCCACATTTCCACACACCCCCACAGTTGCTGCAGGTATGCTTGACATTTTCATCATGACAGCCACGGACAGGAAGTCCCTACAGAGGGTGGCGAATACAGCACATGACATCATGGGCTGTCCTCAGAGTTCGCTAGATGACATCACGGGAGACCCCTGCCTCAGGAGAGCGAGGAAAATTCTTAGGGATGACTCGCACCCTGGCTAGCACTTCTTTAATCTCCTACCTTTGGGCAGGAGATACAGAAGTATAGTCAGCAGCACCAACAGGTTAAAGAACAGTTTTTATCCGTGGGCTGTTGGGCTGCTGAATGGGGAAAAAAGTGGTGTAATTGACTCCTGACAAGCACACAGAGCACGAACAAGACTGAGTGTATTGGGGGAGGGGGGGCTCATTTACCGTATTTTTCGTTCTATAGGACGCACCGGCCCATAGGACGCACCTCGTTTTTTGGGGGGGTGAAATGAATAAAAAAATTATCCCCCGGCTGCCGCCCCAAGCCTCGCGTAGCTCGGGCTGCAGGCTGACCGCCCCAAGCCTCGCGCGCCGGCGGGACCTCCCACCGGGCGCGCGAGGCTTACAGACACTCGCTCAAGCACGGGGAGCCCTCCGGAGGGCTCCCCGTGCTTCGGGCGACAAGCTGCCGCTCCTAGCCTTGCGCGCTGGGCGGGACCTCCTGCCGGGCGCGCAAGGCTTGCAGTCACTCGCCCGATGCCCGGGGAGCCCGGCGGAGTGAGCCCAGTGCTTCGGGCGACAAGCTGCAGCCCCAAGCCTCGCGCGCTGGGCGGGACCTCCTGCCGGGCGCGCAAGGCTTGCAGACACTCGCCCGAGCACGGGAGCCCTCCGGAGGGCTCCCGTGCTCGGGCGACAAGCTGCAGCCCCAAGCCTCGCGCGCTGGGCGGGACCTCCTGCCGGGCGCGCAAGGCTTGCAGACACTCGCCGAGCACGGGAGCCCTCCGGAGGGCTCCCGTGCTTCGGGCGACAAGCTGCCGCCCGAGCCTCGCGCGCTGGGCGGGACCTCCTGCCGGGCGCGCAAGGCTTGCAGACACTCGCCCGAAGCACGGGAGCCCTCCGGAGGGCTCCCGTGCTTCGGGCGACAAGCTGCAGCCCCAAGCCTCGCGCGCTGGGCGGGACCTCCTGCCGGGCGCGCAAGGCTTGCAGACACTCGCCCGAAGCACGGGAGCCCTCCGGAGGGCTCCCGTGCTTCGGGCGACAAGCTGCCGCCCAAGCCTTGCGCGCCGGCGGGACCTCCTGCCGGGCGCGCAAGGCTTGCAGACACTCGCTCGAGCACGGGAGCCCTCCGGAGGGCTCCCGTGCTTCGGGCGACAGGCTGCTGCCCCAAGCCTCGCGCGCTCGGCGGGACCTCCTGCCGGGCGCGCAAGGCTTGCGGACACTCGCCGGGGCTGCAGGCTGCTGCCTGCAAGCCTTGTGAGCCCGCGGGAACTCCCACCGGGCTTGCAAGGCTTGCGGATAGCTTCCTGAAGCCTGGAGAGCGAGAGGGGTCGGTGTGCACCGATGCCTCTCGCTCTCCAGGCTTCAGCGAAACTAGCATTCGCTCCATAGGACGCACACACATTTCCCCTTCATTTTTGGAGGGGAAAAAGTGCGTCCTATGGAGCGAAAAATACGGTAATTTCACTGCACACAGGTGGTGTTGTGACAATAAAGGTTTATTTATTTATTTATATCCGCCACTACAAGATCTCTTTGCTGGCCAGTCACTACCAGTTCAAACCCCTTTAGGATTATTTTTTATTTTATTTTTGCCCCAACGTGCATCCTTGTACACTTGCTTGCACTAAATCACATTTGCCCCTTTAAACGCCCAC